AGAGAGAGAGAGAGAGAGAGAGAGAGAGAGAGAGAGAGAGAGAGAGAGAGAATTTTATGGACTGTAGTTCTGATATTAGCATGGTAGACGTTTATCTCAGGTGTTTTTGATTGCTGACCCTGGTCCCTCTTAGTTTGTATTAAATGAAGGAGATAACAAGTGTCAGGCCTTCACAGTTGTGCAGTTAGCTTAGTTTTCTATACACAGTGGAAAACTGATTTGTTAACTTTTCTGGCTTTTTAGACAATTTTTAAAAATGGGATTTGTGGACAGCAAACGGATTGCAATTTGGGGCTGGGTGAGTAGTTTGTTTAATTTATATGTTATTTTTTTTTGACTCATGGATTTATATGCACTCCTTAGTGAATACAGCCCAGTGCAGGTTAAGTTTTTTGCATGCAAATATTTGGAGATGAAAATCACGTCTGTTGAGTCTTGGGCCTCAGAATAGCAGGCTTCCAGAATGTCTAGTGAGCTAGACATGTACCTCTGTTCATTATGATGAGATAAGGAGCCCAGAGCAAGAGCAGAGAAGGAAGAAGGAGGTGGGAAAAGAGGAAAAAAGAGAAAGGCATGGGGGGAGAAAAGCTTATTAATCAGCAAAGGTTTGTGGTTTATTGTTTTTATTTATTATTTTCTTTAATTTGTATATATGGTCACCAGGGTCCACTAAATGTCCCCTGCTTGTTTTCTTATCTCTGTGAAAAGGGACCAGGATTCTCCAAGTGTATTCTTTAGATACTGCCCAATTAAAGCCAATTTAAGCCTCCTATACCATGCTTTCTATCTCTAAAGAGGCACAGTATATAAAGATGTGAGAAATGTGGAAACCGCGACTCGCTTACCATATGTCCTTATTCCTTTACCTCCATAAAAATAACTGTTTCCATTCCCTAGTCATATGGAGGGTATGTAACCTCAATGGTCCTGGGATCGGGAAGTGGCGTGTTCAAGTGCGGAATAGCTGTGGCACCTGTGTCACGGTGGGAGTATTATGGTATGTAACTGCTGTTATATGCAAAGAACTATTAAGTGTTGACCTTAACATTACAGGGAGAAAGCCATTCCTTTTTTTAGTTTTCTGTGTTTCTATGGAAAATAATAGGCTTGTTCCTTTCTGTGGCTCTTTACAGAGATATATAGGATGCTCTCATTCATTCTGTTGTTATTCAAACCTGACTGCTATGGTGTGCTACCTACACATTTAATTTCTTATCAACAAACCTGTTGCCAAAATTTTTAAACAGCCTTCGTGATGCATTTCTCAAATAAATGTTTCTTTATCTTTATTCAAATTTGATTTGGGACTTCACATTTAACAGAGGAAAGGAAGTATGTATCTCTTCCCTTCTGAGTGAAGATCAAATATGGATTGGGTGTCAGAGGAAGAGAAGACAAGAACAGATGCATTTCAAGGGCGATTTGCTTTCCCACTGTCTTTTAGTACTAGAATATCATCCTCATCATGAGAAAGACCACACAGCATCATTCTTCTGAGACTATAATGCCCAGGGCAAGACTGAGCAGAAAACACCGAGGAGTGGAAAGGAGATGCTGTATTTTCCATTATTTTCTGACCTCACTGAAGTTCTTATTATAGTAGTGCGAGAACGGAATTGTTGGTAAAAAAAAAAAATGCTCATTGATAGTTATATCCTAATATACGGTAGTACCAGTCCTGTAAAAATTCCTCTTTGAAAGCCTCTCCAAGTCAAGGGAAGTCAATGTGCAAAACATCCCTGTCTTTCTGTTATAAACTTGGCAGGTGCAGTTATGATTTAATCTGCACACAATGGAGTTGTTTTTGTGTGATACTTTTGTTTGGAATTAATTGTTCTGTTGGATGGTTTGTTTCTGGAGACCTCTGGTGGTCAATGAAATAATAAAGTAGCCTTTGTAAGGTTTCAGGCATGTAAGAAAAGTTCATTAAATGTACATGATCTAATACACAGTACTGAAAGGGAGCTTTGATTGTATGTGTAAGTGTTCACAATTTTATTCAGAATCGCAAACAATGAGGTGGTGTTTCAAGACATTGTCCTAAAATTTCACAACTAAATTGTGTAGCTATGTGTACTTTTAAAAACATATATTTTAAATTTTCAGATCTTAATATACACGTAAACGTGGTTAGCATAGATAAGAAAGTGGCATTTTGCTCAAAGACAGATTGAAGGCTGTAGAATAGATGTTGGGGAAAATTTTATTTTGCTCTTGAAGACACTGTCTCCCAATCAAATATACAAGCCAAGTTGTTAATATTTGATTTTTTTAAGTTAAAATACACGCGAAAAGTTCATTACCTTGTATTTTTAAGTGTCCTTTAAGATACTGTATTTTTATAGACTGTTCTCTACATACATACAATTATACATAGTCTATATTCATTTTTAGTAAAATATAAATAGATATTAGTAACTCATTTAGGAGGAAAGGGGGTAATAGTGGAACAGCAAACAGTCTTCGGGGTGTTTTTAATTTATGCCTCAGTCATCCAGAAGCATCACAGTGTTGAACTTAAGCCATAAAAGAATGTAAAGAACACCCAGAATTCGTGTCGAAATGCTTGTACGAGGCAGTGACAGTCAAGCACGGAGGCAATACATGACCTCCACGTTTATTTAAACCAACCTGGCTATTTAAGGAGACAGCTTTTAAAACATCCTATAGGCAAAAGAAATCAGATTCAGAAAGACAAGCATCATGTGTTTTTCTTCATATGGAACCGAGAATTGAAGGACGACTATCTGGGGGAACCAAGGAGACAAGTGTTCAACAGGGAGGGAGTAAGAGGGGTGATGGGCTCAATGTAGGTACAGTATAGGACGAACTTGAATGGGGCAGCTTCTCTAAACCTACCACTCTGTACAGCGGATACACACTAGCAGTTAAAACAACAACAATGAAACTATTTATGCAGCGAATTCCATCAGTGATACCTTAGGGCAAATATATAATATCAGATTTCATTTTGTTTAAAATTATGTTTAATTACCCCAAGTAGCCAAACGAATTGTGCAACCTGTTATTCCACCACATTTATATATATAAGAGCTTATGTCAGTTGAGCAGACAGATATTAATGTAATCTGTTCACAGTGCTCAAGTGTTACAGCACAAAACTTGAGACCTCCCCATAAAGTGAGGGGAAACAAATGCTTGACTTGAATTATGATGAAGTAGCTGTGTCAATATGGACTGTTAACTTAAATTCCTTCTTTTTATCATAGTGAATCTCAACCTGCCTAAAATATAAGGCTTAAGTAATCGATCGTTCTTAGGTATCTCAAAAGGAGACAGATTATCATAGCATAAGTGTGTGTTTATCTCAGTACTAAAACTTTCAAGATAACCGGGGCACTAGACAGATGACTTCCATTGAGTGGGTCTCTCTGGGAATTTGACTTTTCTTCAGGTCAATTGCTGATTGTGTTTTAGGTTGTCTAGTTTGCGCTCCCGCTGCCCTGATGCTGAGGGCTGAGTGCAAGATGGGTCAGGGTTGCAGAGAAGTCCTGAGTGAGAGTGAGTGATCTGGGTGTCAGTCTCTCAGGCTGAGTTAGCAAGGGTTGGCTGGGGGAAAGTCTTTCATGAGTTAAGGCACAGGAGGGCAGGTAAAGTGATGCAACAGATATAAGAGAAGTTGAACCTGTTATTGGAGAAGTTGAACCTCGTCTTTTTTTTTCCCCATCACAGACTCAGTGTATACAGAGCGCTACATGGGTCTCCCAACTCCAGAAGACAACCTTGCCCATTACAGGGTAAGAGACAAACAGCTGTGCCAACCTTACAACTGTGTATAAATGGCTTAAGAACTTCTTAATTGTATCTATTTTAGAAAAAAAAATATATATTATTTCCAGCAAATTTCTTGTTAAAAAGAAATAACACAGGTGGTTTAGAGATTCTCCAGTAGCTTCCCCTACTATATTTTGCATAATTACAGTCGTTATCATATGCTATATAGGTCACAATATGCATTCATTTGGAAATACAAAGCAACATCAGATAATTAATTTAATTATAAAAATTTCAGTTTAGAAAACATGTCAAATTCAACATATTCTTTTAGGACCCAGAAGACTCTTTAAGCCTTTAGCAAGATAATAAAATGTTTATGATATTATAACAATTAAAAGGTAAATGCATGCCTGTAATTTTCTCACTCATAGCCAGCTATGTAGATTTTTAACACAGAATTTGCATAAAGCAGGTGAGGTGGCAGGTGCAGTTGAGTAGTGCCCTGAAGAGCCCTGTCCGTGAATTACTACATATCCTCCAATGGTGGGAGAAGTAGTGGGCAGCTTGCTCTCCAGAGAAGCTGCAGCATTTGAAAACATGACCTGGATGCAGCTATCACCTGCGTCACTGCTAGTGTGGAGGCCACACCAAAGCTGTGTGGATGTCACCCTTATGCAGCTGTATGAAACAGCACCACTTTGACACTTTCAAAACTTTACTGATTCTGTGAACCATATTAGTTGAGGGGAAAAAATTGTGAACTAAATTAAAGCTTTTTAATAAGAAGGAAAATCATCTCTGACATTTCCATTCTCCAAAGAGGTCCAAAATTCTCCCTGGAAGAATGAATTAAAAAGAAAGAAAAACAAGAATAATGTCAACACAAAATTTTCTCTGTGTTGTGACTCTTAGTACATAGACCTAACTGTAATACATTGCTCTGAGCAATATACGTACATTTTTGTAAGATGCCATCATTATTACTATGGAATAATAATGAACCATCTGATCAAAACAGTGAATTTAAAGTCTCTACTTTTGCAAGATGTGTATGTGTGCATATATGTGTATGTATGTATATGTATATGTGTGTATGCTGTGTATATATGTATGTGTATGTGTGTATGTGTATATGTGTATATGTATGTATATGTATGTGCGTATGTATATATGTGTGTGTATGCACATATGTGTGTGTGTATGTATGTATGTATGTGTAACTTACTTTCACCTGTTACTTTCAATCTAATTATAAGCTTGCATATGCAGGGGGACATGTTTGTGTTAGTGCCTGCATGTTTTTATATGTTTCTGAGACATGATAGAAAAGTAACCTGCAATTAAAGTGACACACTAGACATCTCTCCCTACAAAGAAGCCTCCTAATCAAGCTCTCCCTGTTCTGTCAGAGGTCTCACCCAACAGTGCACACTCCATTCTTCTCACTCTGTCTACTCCACAGCCTATAGTCTGCTTCAAGCATTGTTTACTTGATACATAATGACCTAGCTCCCTTGGTAATGGTAGCCCAGTCTGTACACTCATGCTGTGTCTTCCCACAATCCACACCCTGCTAGCACATCACACACACACACACACACACACACACACACACACACACACACACACTGCACACACTGCTTTAATGCCACTCTCCTGTGTACCTGGCTAAATCCAGTCTTCACTCTTCAGTCTTCAGCTCAGTAGTCACCCTCCTCACAATGGCCTGGTTTAAGTGTCAGTTACAATTTTGTGACATTTTGCTATGGGTCCCTTATACCTGGATTGTCATTTGTGCCCCATTCCCATGTATGAGGAAGCTTCAACCATCATTTATTTGAAAACACTATGTTACTTTCTTTGTGGGACTATGGACTCTCGTCTTAGTCTGCCTTGAGTTAGTAGTTACTCAGCATTGGATTTTCCCCTCCTCCACCCCGTATTGTTACTTAACATTATATCTTCAACATTTCACTCCTTGAGTGTCCTTCTATGAAGCATAAACCTAAAACCTATCTTGACTTAATTTTTTTAAAAAAGTTTTAAAGTAAAACATTATGATACAGTTGTATTTCTCCATCACTTTTCTCATTTTGATGCTGGATTTTTTTTCTTCTTAATTATCCAACCTGAAAGAGGGTTTTCTTGGCTACGTCAAAGTACTGAAACCCCCTGAAAACACAGAGCTTTACTGCCTAGGATTCTAATGCCTGGCTCTAGAGAATAGTGGATAAAAAGCCAAAGCATTCATTTTAGAAAACCCCAGTTTGAAGAGCCAATAAGGCCGGAGGCACAGGGTTAAGTCCGAACCTTGACACCAAAGGACGTCATGACATCTGCTTCACTTCTTTAGGACACATACCTGTCATACATCTCTTTATCAGCTCTCTCTATATATACTACTACAGGATGGCACTTTTAATCTGCCATTTCGTGCTTCTTTTTTTCAGTCTTTTCTATAGGTTCCTCTTTCCCACACCAATCCTCCCTTCCCCTAAGTCTACCCCCCACAGAGGTGGCCATTTTCATCTCTCCCCTTAGGTGTTCCCTGCATGAGGTAGTCATGTAAATAGAAGTCACTTTCTCCTGCCAATGGCAACACACGCACATTGGGTGCACGAAGTCACTCTCTCACTTTGCTGCACAGATGGCACCCGAGGACTGTTTAATCCTTCCACGCCAGGAGTCGGGTTTTCTTGGCATGAAATTCATTGCTGGCAATGGACACATTAAAACTGCCAGTACCAGGGAGCTAAAGGTTCCCAATGTGTTACTCAGAGGAATTATCCGGGAGGGTGATAGCTAAGGTGGGCAGGAGTAAGTGAGGCAAATGCATTAACGGAATCGAATCGTCTCCACCGCGCTCAGTTGCTTACTTTAAGCATGGAGGACTGAATCTGTGTGGGGATCTGAATGTGAGTGGAGAACTGAATCTAAGTGCCTATTTTTGGTGCACAGCAGGCTTTAGAATAAAGCTGCCCTCCTTTGTTTTTTAAATGAGCCTGTGCTTTTGTCTCTGGCAAGAATATATTCAAAGATTCTATTTTCCTCCAAGGCCCCAGCTGCCCCTCTGGACCCCATCATCTTTTACTTCTTTTCTTTCTCAGGTTTGTTCTCTCTCTCTCTCTCTCTCTCTCTCTCTCTCTCTCTCTCTCTCTCTCTCTCTCTCTCTCTCTCTCTCTCTCTCTCTCTCCCCTGTCCTATCCCTTGAAAAGACATGAGAGCTAATTCAACAATCCCTTAAAGGTTGTTGTCACTTTGCATTTTCATGGGTCAAGAAAATATTTTGAAAAAAATTCCCACTTAGGCAGGAGTCTCTTAGCACATCCAGAATTAGGAAATGCACAAAGTGTGCTGTTGCACAATAACTAAGTTTATGTTCTTAGCTAAGAAGCCATTGATATATAGAACTGTAGAGTTTGGAAGAATATAATTTTTAATATATGGTAGATGAGAGGATTCAGTCCTAGGGGATAAATGACCTAGACTTTAGAGAAACCCAAATCTCCAAGAGGAACATACCCTGAGAATTTGGGCCCTTTTGTTACTGAGGAAAGAGATGCCAGGTGAATTGTCAATGTGTGCCTCACTCTAAGCTAACACATCCACCTTTATGAAGGCGTATACCTGTGTGGCTGACTCCTCCCGGTGGGGGCAGTATTTCCTATGCTTTAAAAGCTGCTATGAAGATTAGGGGATCCTGGGACTCAATTCAGTGACACCTGCAGTGATTCCATAAGACTGTTTGAAGATTGCCACCCACCTATGGCCAAGTGGCAGGACAGGAACTCTTTTAAAGACTCCAAGGACCTCAACGAGGAACCCCTAAGGAGCTGGTCCCAGAGAAGTCTGAGCTGATGAACAGTGTCATTTGGTGGACAGATCTTCTCTACATAGTCTCCATGCACAACAGAGAGAAATGATGACAAATTTAAGCAAAGAATTCAGACAACGAAGGAGGCAACTCTACCACCATTAGCCACAAGCATGCAGCAGTGTAACCACACCTCAAGGAATGGGAGCCTACCCCATGGGTGAAGAATTTCTCAAAGCCCATCTGTAGTCAGAATTGTAAGGCTCGAACACAGAAGAGACTTTCGTTCATCCACTCAAAGTGCCTGGCATTTGATTTGTTCAAAAGTTTATTTTTTAGAGAGAAGAAAAAAGGAAAAACATGGGGAAGATAATTTTTTAAAGGGTAGCAAAACATTAACTTGAACATTATATAATATCCAATGTGTATGAAAAAGACGAGAGACTTCTAAATTGTGACAATGGAGACTGGAAATCTATGTGTCAGAAGCCTGAAGGAAGGGGAAGAGGGGGAGCCAAAATCTAGAATTTCACCCCCCCCACTCAGCCTCAATTGTTATTCATCTAATGTGTTAGTATATCTAGACTCTAGTCTAAGAGATTACATATATTTTCAGCTTCAAGTCTCCCTGAAACACTCTGAATCAGGATAATTACCACCATTTTATTGACAGGGAAACTGAGGCACTAAAATATTAAGCAATGTATAGACATTGAGGGTTTGAAAAGGAAGAGGATGCTATCTGAGCCAGGAAAGAAGGAAGGGAGAAGACATGAGGAAGAGCAGAGAGGTTCTCAACAGATTACAAAGAGAGGAAGGGGCAACAAGGCAGATAGACCGTGACCAGGAGAAGGGCTTCCTGGGACCTCTGAGAAAGATCCATGATGAGATCTGCATGAGAGCTTTGGGAAGAGCAGACCAAATGGTGACCAATAAATACGACAGGACATAGACTGGGAAGGGATGGTCTTGTGAATAAACAGAGAAGTAGAAGACCAAGGCCAGGAGGAGTGGGGCCCCAGTCCTGAGCCTTGCTGCCAAGAGGAGAGGGCAGCCTGGAACACACAGAAGGGCTGATTTAACTTGTAGAGGAGATTTATTTTGCATTTTGCTCAAAATTTGATAGGCTTTTGGCAAGTGTATGAAACAGTCATAGATTTGGCAGTCTTCTGCTAGCAGATTTGAAACGTTCAATCCTTAAGAACTGCTGCATCGTTAGGTTATGCAAAACAGGGTGCAATTTTGTAAATATGCCATCTTGTACTGATTTGACATTTGTTCTATTATCCCAGAATATGCCAAAGGGAGAGAGACCTTCAGATTTAAGCCAAACCTTAACTTGTTTGTGGAGTGCTGATAAAATGTTGACTGCTGTGTGATCTTTAAAGCAGCCAGTGCTGCTTGTGAGGACTGAGGTAGAGCCCCCTGTCTGGGGTTGATGGGAGCTCTTTCCTTGGCAACTCATGGGTACAGTTGTTTGATAGATGTACACAAGTAAAACATCTTATTTAGTGGGGGTTGGATTCAGTTTTTCTTAAATGTTTTCTGTGCCCTCTGCTTGGTATTAATGATGATCCTCCCAAATGGCACCCTTTAATGTTATTCATACAGCATTGATCACAGGAGGAGAATCCAGAGTAAGCCACTAAACCCAAGGCAATAGCTGACCAAGTCTGCTAAATTGTTATCCTCTAGACCCAGTGACTGCTTGCCCTCTACAGGACCTGTGGATGGTAATGAGTATTTAGTTGTGATGTCAAGTGACCATAGAACATGCTAGAGAGGGACTTGAGCTTTGGAGTTCAAATGACCTGCACTGAAAGTCTGCTTCTTGACTTCTAGAAGTTTGAGCTTGAGGAAGTCAATGTTCCCTCTCTGAACCTCAATTTCCTCCTCTAAATAATGGGAGTAACCATATATGCCTCCCAGAGTCACAGAAGTGATTATAAAAGACCCCCCACACCTGCCATGAAGGAAGCTTTGGAACCATGGCAGCTGCCACCATCCTTCTCTTCAGGGAGCAAATTGTCCTTCTGCTTTGTAGATGGCATGAGGGGTAGCTTGAAAATTGTTATACCTCCTGTTTCCCACAGCATTTCCCTACTCTCATCAGCTCCTTCTTTTATTTCAAAAATACAAAGATTTATTTGTTGGAAGGTAGCTGAGGAGCCAGCATGATCCAGCAAGCAGCCACAGATGGTTCTTCTTGGGGATCGAAGGAAAAGCTCCTCACAGAGATGCTGTGGAATCGGCACTGCCACTGGACCAATCCTTTCCACTTCTCTCTGCCAGACTGTTGCTGGCAGCAGGGCTCTCCGGAAGTTTCTAGCCTCAGGAGAATGCCAACTGCACCACCATTGCATCCTTGCCCATTTATCACTCTGAGCTTCCTTTTTAGTCCTTGGTGATAGACTATTCGGTTTGTAACTTAGTCATCCATTTCCTTTTTTATTTCTGTTTCCATGGATAGGCAATAGGGGATCATCCAATTTGGGTGGGTTAAAATAGTGTAATTAATATCTTCCCAATCATTAATCATATATTGGAGGAATGTATGCATTTCCTATGCTGGCTTTGCATGTTTCCCCCACAGCTTGAAGTGTGCCATACAGTGGGCCAGAGAGTCTTAATAGAGAAGCCCGATCGCACAGTCCAGCAGGGAACCACTCACCGGTGGGTCCAGAGGCAAAGTGACATCATTGCATTTGGGGTGGAGGTTTGTTTTCTGCACCGAAAGCCCCGAAGAGGGTGTGCTTCTAGCAGCTGTCTGTCTCTCTCATCGAAAGGTCCCTTTGGAGGCTTCTCCCAATGAGCAGGGAAACGTGAGCTGAAATGGCACACTTACCTTGCAACTGCAGGGGAAGCTTTTGTTTTATTTTTCTCTTGCTGCATTAAAGTATTTGTCTTTCTTTCTTTGTAGTGTAATATTGTTAATGTAAAACAATTTGCATCATGACACTTTTATCACAGTTTTCGTCTTTTTCTCAGTATGTTGCATTTCTCACCATGTCTAGTTCATCACAGCTACAGTGTGTACATCACAACATTTATCTTAGGCTCAGGGTTTTACTTGTTTATAAAAATTGTCTTCTTTCAGCCTGTATTCACTCCATTTAAGAAAAAAAAGGCAGCCAGAAACTGTTTTGGTCCAAACTCCAGTAGTTATCACATTCCTTGCTAACTGTCCTGTGTATTTATATGCCTCCTAACTATTACTCTATGTTTCAATGACATTTCTCCATCTCATGGCACTGGGAGGTGGTTGGAGCAGCTTTTGCTGTTCACGCTGCCAAGCAAGGCAAGCCCATGGGGCTGCCGGAGGTGAGGTGAGGCAACACAGTTGGGTATCTGGGTCAGGTCTGGTGGTTCAAGGAAATTATCGTCTGTGAGAAAAAGGTGGAACTGAGCTTGTGCAGAAACAAGGCGGCAGGAAGTCAGCCCAGGCTGAGTCCATGACTGGGGGGAAGAGATCACTGTGCAGGTCCCTTACGGGGCCATGGCTCTGCAACTCAGAATGAGTCCTGGGTCTTCTAACCCCACCTTTCCATCTCCAGCTACATCAGATGTGTAACAATGCCATTTGGGATGGTTTGATTTGATTGGCTTCTCTTAGAGGACAGAGGACTGCTCAAAGTTCTGTGCTATCTTAGGAGGTAAACCACCTGCCAATGGGAAAGACACCCTTCACCACTTACAGGGTTGTTCAGACCACTGTGGCTCAGAACCCAGAGTGCCCACTAGTACGTACTTCAAGTTCCAGGATTTTTAATTAACATTTTATTTCACACCGTTCCTTTGCTGGAAGACAATCATACGTCCTTTGCAATTTTAAAAGATAAGACAGAAACAGAAAAGGAAGGAGTTTTTCCCAGACTTGGTTCAGTTTTGACACTTCCTAGGGATGGGCTGGGGTACAAAGTTACTTTCTGAACCTGTCTCCTCATATAGAGTGCAGGGTTGGCAGAGACCTGTGTCACACAGGTGTGAGACTTTGACTGGCTTTCCTGGCTCCTTCAAGATGGTTAGTTAGCACAGAGGAAATGCTCAAGGAATGGTAGGTAGGATTACTACTGCCATGGTGTAGCAGTTGGAAGTGGGCGCAATGACTTAATAAATTGCAGAATGAGAATATTATATTCTGACTACTCCACTTCCACTCAACTCTGCAAAAGCAAACTTAATTATATTTCATTTACTTATTGAGTTGGTAAATATTTAGCTATATATTACATGCTAATGATAATAAACAATTATAAGCAAGTCTTATGGACTTTATTATTTAATTGAATATAAATGAATGTTGTTTGACTAGATAAAAAATGAATGGCTGTACAAATAAAAGTGGTAATGTTGTGATAGACAGAGGCATGCTTGCAAGCATGCTGGATAGATGGATTCGGAATGGATAGATACATGTAGGACATCCCATTAGATGAAAGTTTCCCTAAAATTACATTAAAGAACAACTTTTAATGAGTTGCAATGTTTATTTGATAAGTTTGTGAATAAATTCTCAATTTGGGTCAGAAATTTCATATAATGTTAAGCAGGAACTAGCCTGCATAGACAGGATGGGGCATTTACTTGGAGCTACCCGGTCCAGGATGATCCTAGGAGTTTTAGTCGATGGAAACATTTTGGGCAACTGCACTGAAATTTGTAGACAGTATGTCACTTTCCAGAAATACTGTGTCACAGAATTTTCAGTCAGCATCAACAACTTACTTTAAACAATGCTTCTACCATGTCTCTTGACTCCTGAGTGGAATTATTCTTATTCTCATTTTGCAGAAATCAGGACTCAAGAGGGCAGCATGTATGTTTCCAGTTGCAAAGTTCAGTAGTATTGAAACCGAAGACTAGACTTGAGCATGTAACTGTAGCTCCATACCTTTCTGGCCAGACCACTAGGACTCCCAGCACAAGTATCCAGTGTGCACCGGTTTTGTAGATAGAGGTGTCACTGAAATGCAGACCCCGGGTGGCTGCTTCTGAGCCCATGGAGATGTCACTGCCCTTTTCCCTACTGAACCCGCTCCAGGCAACAAAGCAGACTCACTCTTCCCAGTCTCTAGCTGGTATTTCCCCTTCATCTCAACATTGCAACTGGTCCTAAATTTAAATCTGACCTATGCTTTCATTTTTTTTTTCATCCAAGACCTCTGACCCTTATTGTAGAAGCCCCTAGATGACTCAGACCACGAGACAGAACTTTTAACCCTTCATCCTGGCACCCTGGCTGCCTTGGGAATAAAATTTAACAGCACCATTTTTCTTTAATATTAAAAACAAGGAAGTACCAAACACCCACTGATTTTCTGAGGCCACCCTTGATCTTTTTCACCTTTTCCCCTCCCATATGTTACACTTGCTTAGGCTTTAAACATCTGTTTCCACAGAGGTAATGTTTGCTTTTCATTTAGAACCTAGCAATGTGGACCAAAGTTCACATGACATATTGCAGAGTATGTTTAGTTGCAAATGCTATGTACAGGCTCTTTGAAATGTAGCATGTATGGCACCATGTGACACATGGTTGCTATGGTAATACACTTTTTGGCTGAACTACAGCAGAAACCCATGGAACATACATTGCTAATATGAGACTCTGCCCTCTGCTAATGCATAGGACACAGCCAATCTGTGATCTGGGACCCAAGGGGTTTTGCGTGCAGCCTAGGGGACAGGTGCCCTCTTCTTACATGTGCAGGGAAGATGTGGCATTCTTCCTTTCCAGTCCTGTCTCCCAGGCACGGGGCATGCTGTGCATTCTGCCATGCATGGAGACAGCATTTGCTTGAATATCGGTTTGCTATATTTTGTATCAAAGGGGGCCCCAGCTGAAAACATTTTATTTTGTAAACTGAAGTGAAAAATCAGTTATGGCAGATCCTTTTTTGAATAATGACATTCTTTTTCCCAATTTCAGAATTCAACAGTCATGAGCAGAGCTGAAAATTTTAAACAAGTTGAGTACCTCCTTATTCATGGAACAGCAGATGGTGAGTTTCAGTTAATTAGACTTTTTAGTATCACAGACAGGTTTGCAATTTCACTACTGACAAAACAAAAGCATGAGGGGCAAGACTGTTACATTTACTTCAATAAAACAGTGTTGCTTTCCACAACTCACTTGTCTTGGACTAAATGGGATGCTGAGTCCTAGAACTTCAGTCACTGTCTTCTCTGCTTCCCCTCAGTAGCCCAACGCTCCAGAGGCTATTAGCTATTTGTTTACGGCTGCTTGTTCCCTTTCTTTCCTGCAGATAATGTTCACTTCCAGCAGTCAGCTCAGATCTCCAAAGCCCTGGTGGATGCTGGCGTGGATTTCCAAGCAATGGTATAATAAGACTTTGTTCAGGGGAAAACCAAGTATCTGGGAGGTCTAGTTTCCTCTTCAGGGGTTACTTTTTCCCAGAGACTTCTGAGAAGATAGGACTGAAGAGGGCTTTCTCATTCCAGTGTGAAGTTGGAGATGTGATATCCTTGAGTCATACACAGAGTAAATATTAGACAGTTTGAGGTTGAGAAACACAGTATTACATATCCTGGGAGTGTCAAAACACCATTCTTCTATTCCTGTGATGGTTCAGTCTCTCCCTGTTTTGATTTGAAAGTAATCACTTATTCCGTAAATGTGTGGCAGAGTAATTCTAAAGTGAAACCAGCATGATAATAGCTGAAATGTAAAAGCCATTCTGTTATTATGATTACTAGCCATCCTAACAACAGTGGGATATTAATAATCAGCATGCTACGGTTCTTGTGATTGCTACACTATCTTTTGTTGAACAACTGCAGGCAACAAGCAATTAGGCTTGTTTATAAAATCAGAAACTACTGGGCTGCCTTTGCCTATGCAGAGAATGTTGGGGGTATTGAGTCTTCTATATTAGAATTTTTCAGGTCAAAAAGAAACAATATATATGTGTATGTATATATATATATATATATATATATATATATATGTACATATATATATACATACACACACACAACATGCCTTGCACTAATAATACTGTTGTTTAAAACACAGCTTTCTTACTTGTTTTGTCTAGAAAACACTGCCCCCCTCCTTCTAACACATAATTCGCTGTGTGCTCAGTTCCAGTAGTGCCCACTGTCTAGACGTAGGCTAGAAAACCTGCCATATCTTTTGGACCAGATTCTCAGTAGAGGTCAAGGTTTAATTTTTCACTACTTAAAGCAAAAACATATAATACTCGAGGCATGATTTTAAAATTAACTTTTGTCTCAGTAATATGCACTAGGCTGGCAGTGCTTTCCCATTCATTTAGTAAGGTATTAGTTTATGCATGTTTGCTTCAGGTTGGGGACTCCTTCTACATAAGTGTCACACAGACAGAGCTTTTAATTTCCAGGATAAAATTTAACTGTTGGTAAATAATACATTTGACTTTTGACATATATATATATATATATATATATATATATATATATGTGTGTGTGTGTGTGTGTGTGTGTGTATAACACTTTAATATTTATACTGATTTTTCTAGCCATTAAGATACTTATATTGGAAAAAATTGCTTTAAAAACTATTTATTTTAATACATACTCAACTGTAGAGAAATTTGATACTTGCTAGTACCCATTAAAATAGTATGGGTATAAACCATTTATGGTGAGGTTTTAAGTGACCTTTGAGTTACATTTGAAAGTTGATTTGGGTATTTTAATTAGAATATACCTATGTTTAAAGCCCCATGCAGTAAATCCAAATGCACAGTGGATTTTCTCAGTACCTGAAAAAGAGGACCAGAGACTTCTTCAGAACTGAACATACCTTGAAAAGCTCTGGGGAAGAACTAGACACCGTCTTTGACCACACTTCAGTTTATCAACCTTTCCCATTTAACACCTCGCAAGAGCTCATTTGAATTTTTTCCTTTTAAAATACAGCTGACGTCCTAATTCTGACCTCTTTCTCTCTCCAGTGGTATACGGATGAAGACCATGGGATCGCTAGCAGCATGGCTCACCAGCATATCTATACCCACATGAGCCATTTCCTCCAACAGTGCTTCTCCTTATAGTAGCACAGCAAGGCTCCCGTAGCTTATTTAAAAACACATTTGTTCTCATTATCTCAAAACTGCACTGTCAAGATGACGATCTTAATAACGCTCTCATCGAGAAATTTCAGGCTACTTTCCAGTTTCATACCTGCAGTCCCAAGTAAGAATGTCTGTCTTCACAACAGATTATTACCTTACAGCAATTTGGATTTTTCACTCTGTTTTGTTTATCATTTAAAATTATTTCCACATCAGCTGCTGAAACAACAAATATAAATTATTTTTACAAGAGTTCTGCATAGATTTCCTGAGAAGAATTTCTTTTTTTTTTCTTACTAGACTAGTCCAAATCTTGTTCTCTTATTTAAGGGGATGACAAGATGTGGGCAATGATGTCATTAGGGCAGCAAGGAGAGAAGCGGGGACAGGGAGAGGAGATCACAGAGTATGACTAGAAACCCAGGTCCAAGCACACCAACCCAATCAGGCTACTGTCAGCTCGCCTTGAGAAGTGCTGTTCACTGCCAGACTGGCACAGTTTTCTGAGAAAGACTATTCAAACAGTCTCAGGAAATCATATATGCAAAGCACTGACTTCTCAGTAAAACCACAGCAGTTGAATAGACTCCAAAGAAATGCAAGGGAAACTGCCAGCAATGTAAGGGCCCCAGGTGCCAGTTATGGCTATAGGTGCTACACAAACACAGTCAGGGTGATGGGAAAGCATTGCAAATGTGCTTTTAAAAAATCACCGATGTTTCCGAGTGAGAAGAGGCAGCTTGGAACATATCGACTTGCCCTGTTAAAAGTTGAAAATATTTGTGTCACAAATTCTAACATGAAGGAATACTTGCATCAGTTCTTACTTCATTTCCTTGAGCATGTTAATTAAAATATTTTAACCTCATTGGCTTTTTAATGGAATATGAATGAGAATGTTGTGTGTTATTATTTCTATTCTACACACTGGAATTTTGCCTGGTCATTTAGTAAATATGCTTCCATTTTTCAGAGGTAATGGGTTACATCTTGAATCAAACTTAAACCGCATTGACATATGGACACATTTGTTCAAAGGTTCTTGTTTAACTTGTTAGAAATCCAAGACTGTCTTGTAAACATGGAAGGAGTTCAGCTTTAAAAAAAAAACTTAGATACATAAAACTGTTTAAAGTTAAATAATTCATAAGAGTTTATCTAATACCCATGAAATTTCAATTCTCATACTTAACACTTAGCTTTTAAGAAACCAATTAATAATAATATGGTCATTTGTGTACTCTGGAAGACAATTTAATTTAATCCAGGGAAGCATGTGAGGTTCAAAGCACGAGAATGAATACTTTCAGCAAAGTCATTTTGGTAGTTCTGATGGTTTAGTGGATGCGTCCTTCCAGGGCTTTGTGTTTTGTTTTGTCTCCAGTCTTTTTCTGGGTGGGGGAGGGGAGATATAATAGAAAGAAAGCATAGATTTCCGATACTGAATTTGACTTAGCAATGTTTGAATAACTTAAAAAATATATTTTGTTTCAATTATTTGTAACAGCTGCATTTTAAAAATGGACTTCACACATTTAAATGGAGACCATTTGCTAGACAAAATTATCATAGGTGAGCTATAGCATAAACTCTAAGCCTGGCAGAAATGGAAACCATCTATCAACTAAAAATAAGATTAGAGATTCATGATAACAACGTACAGAGGCTGTGAAATCAGCTTTGCTGCTTTTCCCAGGGCATGCCACTGATTCATTTCACCTTAATTAACTCACAAGTCCCACTCTTCCATGGGAAGCATTGCTGATCTTTAGCCCTGTAGGTTTCTGGCCATTATCCTTGTTTTGAATATAGCTCAGTCACTTGTGTAGCAGGACCAATCTGCAAGGTCCTAGATCAAGGAACAGAGGTAACACATGTTCCTGACAGCATGAAAACATAAAAGCAAATTAAATAGAAAATATTCTTTGTGGGTTCTTTCACTAAACCACATTATATAATAATGCAGGTTTTGTATTAATATTTCTCACGATTCTATAATGTTTATACAATGCCCAAGCCATGAATTTTTTTGTTCCTTTCATTTCTAAATATGTTGTTTCTGGAGCCTGAAGTAATAAAAATATCATAGCACACATTTTCTCAGGCAATGAGAGTTTCAAATGGTGATAATGTGACTAAATTCAGTTTTTATTTGACTCTCATAGGACAAGTTTTACTGTTCAATAAGAGTTGTAAATTAGATAAAGAAACTGAGACATGAATTATAGATAAACTTAATTTAAAGGTAAGTCTGAAACACACAAGAACTAGCATTGTCATCAAGATATATAGACATGTCTCCTATGGGCGTACGCAGCCTCTGGAAGCCATCCTCCACTAACCATCCTCAGAGTGCACCAGCACCCAGGGGCACCTGTGCTAAAGGAATTGAGAAGCAGTTCGTGATGCAGGATAAGTTCAGTCTGTGTCGCTCTGGGCTTTGTGTTTCTTGATCAGAGTATTAGCAGTCCCACTTCTTGGCACTGACTGCTTTTGCTCTAAGTTGGAGTGAGAATACTGACTTATAAGACTACTAGATTTGTACAATATTTAAGATTCAATAAATTCTAAGTGAAGAAACATACCAAAACACAAGCATGTTTTTTTTCCTAAAATAAGATAATTTTGTTGTGCCAACTTTGTGACAGTTATTTCAGCAGTATTTTCACATACGTCCTGAGTGACCTGAAGCATATATTCAGGATGTTTTTGGGGATACAGATGGCTGAGAATGAAACACAAATGGGGGTGATAAAGCACAACATCACTGGCTACCCCATAAGAAATCTCAGAGCCTGGTATTAACAAGACCATTGTGAAGCTCAGTAGTATTTGATCATCTCTCTTTGTGTCATATTTCTCTGACAATATTAACATTTAAGTCCAAGAATTTGAATTAATAAGAGAATATTTTTTACTGCTATTAAAAAGGGTATGTCTTTCAATGCATATAGAGCAGTAGTTCTCAACCTTCCTAATGCTGCGATCCTTTAATACAATTCCTCATGTTGTAATGACTCCCAACCATAAAATTATATTTGTTGCTACTTCACAACTATAATTTTGCTACTGTTATGAACCATAATGTAAATATCTGTGTTTTCTGATGGTCTAATGTGACCCTGTGAAAGGGTCATTCAATCCCCAAAGGGGTTGTGACCCTAAGTAGAGAACCACTGTTATAGACTATAAATGTTAACAAATTAAATAGAAGTCTTTACTCTACATAGCCTTTCCAAATCAATTCTCCAAGCCTGTGAAATTTCTTAAAAAGCATCCATCATGGCAGTGGGATTATTCAACATTCAATGGTGTAACCCTTCAACAACCAAAATCCTTAGCTCTATCTCTCTGTATCTACAGGGGATTGGTTCTAGATTCTCCTGTGGCTACAGGAAACAAAATCCAATAATCTCCAAATATTTCCTGTAAAGTGGCTTAGACTATACAGAAATGGAAGCTTGTCTTTCTCTATACTTCATATAATCTCCAGATTCTTGTGATATCCAGGACAATGTAAATGCTGTGTATCATACTGAAAGGAATGTTAAGGGGAAAAGCAAATATATGTTGATACAGACATAGTTGTTTTAGAAATATTTTGATCAGTGATTGCATGAATCCTCAGAGACATGAAGAGTAGGGTACTTGAAGGTATGTGAAGGGATGGTCCTCTCTGTAAGTTACTTCTATACAAATCATAATTTTGTGAATTGTAAGCACCAAAGTGGATTTCACTGGTAGATTTGGTTTTATTGTTATCACAGAGAAATGAGTGATGAAGAAAGTACAGTATATTGAGAAGAAATGGTACTCAATCTGATTCTGCTTCTAAGAACCAAAGCGAACATTCTATTAGGGATGAGCAAAATCCTTTCTCACCTCCTGCTTGAGATATAGTGCCCTTCAGCTGAAATCAGACAAACAGGGCAAAATAACCAGCAGTTATGACAAGCATAGTATTTAAGGAACATTATCTAGACTCTTTGAATTCAACTCCTTCCTACCTCAGAACTGCTGCATGGCTGAGATTTATATATATGCAGTGGCTAGCATCTTCCTTTCCAGTCTTCTTTCCGCCTAGCCACAACATTTTGCTGTTTTTTTTTTTTGTTTTTCTACCTTGGTGGCTGCATACACTGCATAGATTCTGGCCTTAAATGCCCATGTTCTCATGTGCCAGATCTATGTAGTGTCTGATATGCACTGCTGGAGTTCTCTGTTGTAATGTATCCTTTCTCATTCATAACAACAGCATTTTACTTAGGCTTCTGGAGCAACTTTTGCTGTCTGGGTAAATACAAGAGCACAGAATTAGACCCTCTAGAGTTAACAGGGAAGGCTAAGACACCACCGTTGCCATCAAACAAATGGAGGAATGAGGTTGCCTGGCAGAAGCCTATGACTCCACACTCAAAAGGAAGTGGACCTAGATATAAGCTCAGTCCACAGTAAGAGGAAATGAGGTCATTAGGACTGAAGGGAAGCAGAACATCTCAATATGCCCAGTGAAAAATCACAAGTCATTTCTGATTATTAACCACAACCTTTCAGCATACTTAGAGACAATATGACTTTCATAAAATTTTCAGAAGGTTGCCATCTCATTATTTAAAAGACAGCAACTTGCTCTATTTAGACCATGCTGATCATAAACCCATGATAGCCCAGGCTGGCCTCAAAATCCTGGCAGTCCTCCTAGCTCAGTCTCCCAAATGCTGATGTTATAGATGTTAGCCACCCAGATGGCATTTTACTTTATTTCCTTAACTGGATATACAAGACAGACATACTGAAAAGTTAGAAATCAGTCTGTCAATGATATAAAAGCAACTCAGGAGAGAATAGGCTTTAGCTGGACAGAAACAGAGAGGTCAGTGCAGACAGGAAACAGAATAACTATTCATTCCTAAGACCTAAGAGAATCTTGAAAGATCTGTAAGTCATCATGGGAGTGTCTCTATCAGACTCTGAATCTGAATTACCCCCATAGCTAAAATCCTGAACAATAAAATAACTGCTGGAGGTCTCACCATTCCCAGTCTCGAGTGGTACTACAGAGCTATAGTAACAAGAACAGCAAGGAATCAGCATAAAAACAGTCATATTGATCAGTTGGAACAAATTGAAAACCCAGACATAAATCTACACACCTATGGACATACACACTGGAAAAAAGACAGTATCTTCAACAAATGGTGGTCAAACTGGATGTCTGTAGGTAGGAATCTGAGTCATCCCAAGTAGGGGCAATTACAAGCAAGCCTACTAGTCAAGAGAAATATTAATCAGCAGGTAGAGTTCTGAACACAGTCTTCCCGACAATCTAAATGGTCACAAAAGAATTGTGGTCCCATTTGACCTCTACAGCAAACAGAAAGGTCACATTTAGGGAATGCCTTCCCCACACAGGTTAAAAGCAGGAATTCATGAATTCTAATAGTGCAGATCCTGCTAATGAGCTTTTCACTTTCCCACAGAGGGAACCTTATTCGTGCCCTGTTCTGTAGGGGGAGGAGCATGGGCATCCTTACACACTTCTCATTATTTTCTGTTCATAAAGTTCAAGTTGTTTGAATCCTCCTGAAGTGTTTTATGTCACAAATGTTTTTTAACAGGCGGGATGTCTTCATTTAGATCGTTAAAATACTTTACCTGATTTATTGGTTAATATGAAGGAAAAATAAAGACAGGACACACTTTAAAATAAGCATGAAAATTAATTAGGATAAATATTTATTTCCACATAACATTTCTTAGTTTTGAAAAACACAATATCCTAGTCACATTTACACATTACTTAAACATTGCAATAAATTACATTCAAGATATTCAGTAATTTTGACCAGGAATCTGAAATTAGGAGTA